TTTTTTCCGGCTTTTCTTTTAATGTTCCGCTGATCGTAACTTTTACTAAACAGAGAGAGAGAGAGAGAGAGAGAGAGAGAGAGAGAGAGAGAGAGAGATGCAATGGCCGCGCGTTAAAGTTTCCTATCGAAGTAGCCTTTATAGATCCTGCATTAAGTTTACGTACTCGGGGATCACATAAAACTGTCCGAAACGCACCCACATATATATATATATATACATACACCAGACACAAATGGGTTAGCGACCTGGAACTTCGTGGACGACCACGAAATACTGAAGAGAAACGATCCGTTATCGGTTGTAAAGTCCAAGCCTCGATCAGTTCGAATGCCGTTGTTTCGTATATCACTTATACCTGCGCGCATTGTCACATTCGTACATAGTATATATATATGTATATATATATATATATATATATATCTGTCCCTGCCCTTTGAACCCTATACCAACACGATCTTGTCGTTTCGTTTTTTAACCCTTTTTTCTCCTCTGCCTTTGTAAAAAATATATGCTTTTGCTTTTTTCCTCTCTCTCTCTCTCTCTCTTTCTGATCTATTATATATCGTACTTTTTTTTCTTTTTCCTCAATTCTCGAGTCTCTTCTTTTCACACACACACACATATATATATTTCTTGGAGAGCAATTTCGCGCGCGGAATTCATCACGCGATTGTATTGTTCGGCTTGGCGATTTCTCACCAAAGGATCTTTGCCCGATGGTGAGCCCACTGATTTATCACTCACTCGGTATGAGATCCTACTTCCGTTTCAAAATCTCACATTAATTAAATATCATTGTCACTTGGTTGGAAAATTGATTCTAATAATAGTTAGCGAGAAGTGTGATTTAAATTTAAAATATTCTTTCTGATTTTTACTACTAATATAATAGAAGAAAGAAAATTTTTTTTGTCTGACTGAAATTTTTTTGTACTACTTCTCTAGATGTAAAAAACTAATTGTCTGCTAGCTTATATTACTGATTCTGAATTTAGATAAATATTTAACTGTCTAACTAATTTTTTTGTGCCAAAAAACAGCAACAGTTGCTATGGTAATGGTTGTCATGGAAACGGTTGCTATGGAAATGGTTGTCATGGTAACGGTTGCTATGGAAACGGTTGTCATGGTAACGGTTGCTATGGTAACGGTTGTCATGGAATCGGTTGCTAAGAAAACGGTTGTCATGGTAACGGTTGCTATGGTAACGGTTGTCATGGTAACGGTTGCTATGGTAACGGTTGTCATGGTAACGGTTGCTATGGTAACGGTTGTCATGGAATCGGTTGCTATGGAAACGGTTGTCATGGAATCGGTTGCTATGGTAACTGTTACTGCCTAAAAGCATCTTGCAGTACTTTTGTTCAAAATTAATATAATTTTTAAATTGACTAAATCAAAATTTAATTTAGTTCTACAAAAATAATAAAAATTCAATACATTCTGTCTGACTAAAACTCTTTTGTACTACTGATATTAAAATTACAAGAATTAAAAATATACAATCTGTCTAAAACCACCTTGTACTACTTTTACTGTAAAATTACATAATAGTAAAACATTTAATTTGTTCAAAAATATATTTTACTTAGCACTAAAATAATTACGAAATTTTTTTTTTTTAATTCTGTCTGACCAAAACTTTTTTATTCCACTTGGACTAAAACTAAAAAGTTTAAAATGTTTCCTCTAACGAAAATTGTTTTTAAATAGTCGAAACAAAACTAATAAAACATTTCTTAAGTGTTTTTTTTAGATACTATTTTACTAATTCACACATTGGAAAATGTTCGTCTTACCAAAATTAACCTTCACTACTGGAGAGTATGTTTTAAAGAAATTGCAAATATTTTTGTAACATTTGGTTTTTTTTTTTTTTTTTTTCTAAATCAAATACCGATTTTAGATTATAAAAAATATATTAGGGAAAATTCAATATTGTTTCAGGTATGTTTACAAAAATTCTGTTTAATTTAACTCAAGGCGAACAAAAAAAAGAGAAAAAAAAAATTGTTTCAAAGTATTCTCGAGCAAAATATGTAAAAATGAGACTCGATGTTGGTATGCAATAAAGCCGGGAGGAAACGTGAATCTGATGGATGAAGAACCTTTGGGGTTTTGCAATTTTATTCTGAGGGGTCGCGCTGCTACAAACAAGTAAAAACGTTCGTAATAGAATAGAAATTTAAATAAAATGCTTTATAATCTGAAATATCTAATCTTCTGCTTCGCTTGAGAATTATTTCACGCATGAAATATATATATATGTATTATTTGCCAAAAGGAGAATCGTTACAATTTTTTAATTTAAATCACTCAAAAACAAACATTATTGAAAATACGAAAAGAAGTGAACTAAAATTTTTTAGTCTACTTCATAACATAATATATTATTCTATTTTTATTTATTTGAAATTTGGAAAATGAAAGCTTTCAGTGACATTTTCAACAGGATTGAAATATTAGATAAACTTTTCGTAACGTCATGTATATATGTAAAATTGAAATGGTGTGTGAGAATATTTTTAAAACAGGAAAGAAAACTTTTCATAAAAATGACATAAAACTTTAGAAGAGAGATGTGGGGAAAACTTTTTAAAAACTTTTTTCGGGCGGGAGAGAGAGAGAGAGACATTAAACAAGTGCATTCGGAAAATTGTTTGTTTGATTTCCGACATTGTCACAAAACTTTTTTCGGGGGGGCGAGTATATTGTTCATAAAACCAGTAAATGTTGGATGCAATTTCTCATTTTTCGAATTTCCAATGACTATACCTTGTGTGTGTGTGTTTACATCAAAGCAATTTCATTTCAAATCAAATAAATACTATTTATTTATTTAAATGAAAATACATTTTATAAAACCATGGTGAAGGTATTTTTTTTTATTCTACTTTTATTTTAGTTTCATTCCTCTTTGTCGCCTCCATCAAATTTCATTTCACACAGAGTATTTCGATTTCCATGTACCCCCCCGAAAAAAAAACGATGGAGGTGCAAACTTCAATAAAATGTCCAATAAATTACAAAGAATAGATTTAGCATTGAGTTTACTTTATTTTCATTTTCTCCACTCAGTTTATTTATTCACGATGACATTTTAAAAATATCTCATTACTATATTGTCTTCAATAAATTGTTAAATGTTCGACAAAAATTTTTTTTTTTTATATTTAATTTATTTTACAATTGTGTTTTTTATATTTTGGGTATAATTAATTAGGATTTAATTAATGAAATATTAATTTTAAAAAAATTATATTAATAAAAAAATTAAAATACGGAAACGCTGAATATTATCAATATTTATATGGGAAAATTTTAATTAACTTTAATTTGACATTTTGAAATTAAAATACAAAATTAGTTTCACTGAAATATCCATCATTGTGAGAGGACTTTCTGTCTCAATATTTACGTTGATAATTGAAAAGTCGGGAAATTTCAACTATGGCTCAAGTAATATATTACCAATTTAACGGGCCAGCACCTGCACTGGCTATTATAGAATAATTATATAGAGCACCGCGCATACTTGACTACAAAATTGAAAAATATTTGATTCACTACTTGTTGAAATACAAAGGGAACTTTATGAATTGAGTTTTATCTTTTTTTTCTATTCTATATTTCTCTTTCATTTTTCAACAGCGAAAAAAATTATTAATTTTATATATTTATTTTATATTTAAAGAATTTAATGAATATTCTTGTAATTTATTATTTTTTTCACTAAAAAAAAAAGTAAATAAAAATTTAATTTTGTTTTAAATTACAACTCTCATTTGCCAGTGATATTATAAAAAGGTATATGTCTGACTGAAACTGACCTTTACTACTGTAATTTAGTTTTCAAGAATTTTAAAACGTTTGTCTTTCTCAAACAAGGTTTTATTTGCACTAACAGAATATGGAGGAAAATAAACTATTTGACAATATATAACTTTTACTACATCGGGAAATGTATGTCTGACCTAAACTGACATTTACTACTGCGGTGCGATATTCAAGAATTTAGAAACTGTTACGATAATTAAAAATACCAAAAAAATGTTCTGCCTGACTAAAAATGGGATTTACTACTTACATTAAAATTACAAGTTTTTGGAACCATTTTTCACAAAGTAATGTTTAATTGTTCTTAATAATTTCACAAAATTAGTAAAAATAATATTCCTAAACTGAATTTTAATTTCACTAATAATTATTACTATTACTATTGTAATTTAATTTTCGAAAATTTGAAAAGTATCACGATAATTAAAAACAGCAAAAAATGCTATGTCTGCCTAAAACTAGTCTTTGCTACTTACATTAAAAATTACAAAATATTGAAACTGTATACAACAAACTACTTTTTACTGATTCTGAACAATTTGACAAAGTTACAAAAAATATCCCTAACTGTATTTATTTTCACTACAAATTTAAAAATTACAAATTTTCAGAAAAAAAACTGTCTCACATTTAATTGACTTTTTCTACTAATACAAAAATCACACGAATTTTCTAAGTTTGAAAAATGTTAATTAAAAAATACAACAAACACAATGAAAAAAATAAACATATCAATTATTCTTCAAAAAAAAAATACAAAAATTGAGCATCAAGAAATAAATCTCGATGAAACGTCAAATATTAAAATAAGAAGGAGATATGAAGATAAATGTTTTATAAAATGAACGATGAAACCGCAAAATTCCCGAGAGCAAATGGAATAGAAACAATGTTAACAAAAACGAAACGCATAAATACTACTTTAGGCGCATGTTACATAAAATTAATCATTATCTCAACATAGGGCGTCATATACTATATTATATTCTATGTATAGACTTTATATATATATACATATATATCTATATAGGAATGGAGTACGCTGAACTTGGAGGTGGTTGAACGTGTTGTAGTGTCGGAATTACTCGTTCGAGGGAGTCTGCGACATAGGGGGGTGGTGCGCGCGTGTGATTTCAAAGGACCAGTATGCTTCTGACTTTCGCGCAAGTAGTTTGCTTTTCCACTTCGTCGGAAAAAGCATTATACACGTGAATTCATTTGATTTAAAAATTAAAGATAAAAAAAAAAAATTAATAAATTTACCGATTACGGAAAAAATTATTTTTTCTTCAAAACTATTTTTTGGCATATACATTTTTATAATATGTAGACAAAAAAAAAAAAAAGTGGTAAAATATAAAATTAAAGTGTCGTGATATGTGTGATGTCTTTTTGATTTATAAATGTACGAGGTGAGACTGCAGAATAGTTGAAGAATATTTCATATGTCAAAATACAAAAATGTAACAAAATTTTCATTTTGTTACATTTTAAACTGAAAATATTTTTTATGAAAAAAAATATTAATTTTATAAAATCAACAAACATTCATAGCTTTGGATAACATTATTTCCATTTTTTTTTTTTAATTAACAATTTTCTTTTACAAATATTGAAACTATTTTTAAAGAGGGGATAGCTAAATGACGGAAAAAATTGGGTTGGATTTTATGGCATAAATATTAATTGTTGTCGAAGTATTAAATATGTAAAGAAAATTTAAATTTCTCAGAAAAAGTGAATATTGTAATGAATGGCAAAAATTACAATCATAGAGTTTAGAAGAAAAAAATAAATTAGTTTAGCGGGAAGAAAAAAAATAATTTTGTAGGAAAAAAGAAATTTGTTTAGAAGGAACCAAAAAAAAATTAATTTGGAAGAAAAAAGGAAATTTAGAAGAAGAAAAAAATGAAATGTTTATATAAAAAAGAGAGGAAATATTCTACAATGGGCCACATAATTGTCCTCGCCTAAAAATTATGGAACATTTTAGATGTCGTAAATAGAATTATGTTATGGTGTCGTGTTTATGAGTCATTATAGGGGATACTGCTCTAAATATACATATAATTTTCCGGAAAATTGTCTATTGTACGTGAACACTAACGATGCACAATTTATCAACCATTCTTGCACAACATTTCACTATTACACATATCGTCAGTATATAAATCTCACCCAAAAATCTGTTTTAATATATCATCTCATTGGTTTCTCATAAAATTGAATTATGAAAATAAAGTTATACCTCAAAAAAATATTTTCTTAAAAAAAACTTTTTCTCTAAAAAAATATATTAAAAAAAAATATTTTTCCGAAAAAAATATTATCTATAGAGAAGAAAATAAATTATATTTCAAATAAATAATTTTTTTTGTCTTACAAATAAGTTCTTTGTATTTACATCCATAAATTTCAAAATTTCTGAAGAGCAAAAAAAAAAAAACATATTTAAAAAAATATTTTTACAAAAGTCAATTTTTATTTCTACCCACGTGGAAAAAAAATCATCGACATTTTTTGCCACAGTGATTCCCCATATCAGTCGGAGGGAATAAAATTTTATTTTTCAAAAAAAAGTTGCGATAGAAAAATATGTCATCTATTTAAAAAAAAATCAAACTCGTTAGTAGTTTCGGAAAATATTTTTTCTGGCGGAAATCATTCGTTAATAGTACGTTGGATTCATTTTGTAAAAAAAATTTTTTTTTCTTCATAATTTTTCTATCAATCACGATGAAACAATATATTTTTTTTGATTTAATTTCTAGTGGAGAAAAATTATTTCAATTTTTCGAAATGATCAAAAATATTACTGACATATAGAGGTCAATAAAAAAAAAAAATTTTACGACTCACGTATTGGTTACCATGTGAAAATTTACCTCATGACAAATAGACAAAAAAAAAAAAAAGAGAACAAAACTTGTGTACAATAACTCGTAGGACTATTCGTTTAGTTATCAGCTTTTCAACGGAAGGAAACTACACTCGAACCATCATTTGAAAGCATGTCCAATGACCGTCATCGTGTGGTGGTTTAATGCGCACAATGGGAGTTGGAAACGTGAAACGGATTGATGGCTAAAGTAACTTATGACCTGTCCAAATTTCAGCTATGAATGCTTTTTGATATACTGTAAATCTTTTTTTTTCCTTTACATATTTTTTTCTTCAACTTCTTTAATTTTTTATTTTTTTTTCTTGTACACTATATTTCAAAATTTTTACATTAATTAGCTTACATTAACATGAATTGTTAAATTTTAATTTTGAAATTAAAATATTTACAAATATTTTGCAGTGAAATTTTAATTAAAAAAAAAAAAAATTTTTTTAATCAAATTATTACAAATTTATGAAATAACAATTTTGTTTGATAAATTTTTTAATTCTCCCTTTGAATTTGACTTTATAGGAAAATCCAGAAGGTCACTTGTAGATAGAGACGTTTATTTATTTGCACTGGGAATTTTGTTAAAATAAAAAAGTTAGTTTCCGTGAAAAAAAATATTCCCCCTTTTTGCTAGTTAAAAATAATGTAACGCAAATTGGAGATTCAAATTAATTCTACAAGGAATTCAGTAAAAAAAAAAACTTTTTTCTCTTTTCCTTCTTTTTTTTTTTTTCTTGAATTATTTTGTTCACCTCGATGAACGCGGATAAGAGTATTTTAGTTCCGGTACGACCACGACGGTGGCTAGAAGGGCCTTTCAAAATGTCTATTGAATGAGAGAAGCTTGCCGGGTTATATTTTCATCCTTTTCTCAGGCCGAAACCCTGTTTCCGCTCTTTTCTTCGTTTCAAGTTCCGGGTAATTAAAAGTTTGGCTTGGCCACGATTCACGCCCGGAAGAGCTAATGCCGCCCACTTGCCGATGCGATCTCCCTCTCTTTCTTTCTTTCTCATTCTCTATTGATTATATAGCTGTTTTAATATATTTTTTTTCTCCCTTACAGTGTAGTAAACTTTATTTACAATCGTCAAATCCACTTTCTTATATATATATTTTTTTTTCAAGCATTCGTAATGATCGTCAATACGATAACGAGCTAGGTTTTGAAAATAATTTGCGGTATAATGGAGCATGAGAACGTTCAGAGTGAAAGAAATCTTCGTTATATACACTGGAGTCACGGTTTTTTTTTTTTTTTAATGTGCACTTATTAATTCATCGGGTCAATTGAAATTTATTTTTTCCTAAAATTTATTTCATATACCGTAATATTAATTTAAAAAATATTTTATCTGACTAAAACTATTTTTTACTACTAATTATAAAATATGGAAATTTTTTTATATTGTCATATTACAAATGAAATTTTTTACTGGAAAAATTTATTTTTCTTCCGCTGACTGTAACTGATTTTACCACTAAGAGAAAAATGACAAGTGCAAAAAACTTTTACTACTGAAATTAAATTCACTAGTAACAATATCACTATTATTATTACTATTAAAAATAACTAATTATCATAATAAATTATAACAATATTTGTTATAATATCACTGTCCGACAGAATTTTTGATCCACAAAAAAAATTAACATTTTCGGAAACTAGGACCCAAAAAAAAATACTCGTATCTGGCGGTTTTGCTAGATCAAGTCGTGTGTGGTTTTTAGGGGTGAAAACAATCCCTAAATGAAAAGTGACAAGATATCTTTTAAAAATTATTAATATTTTATAAAACTTGGAATCTGGGGGTTTTTGGGGTCGCTGATTATTAATCTGATGTCAGATTTTCAAAATTCAAAATGGCGAATTCAATATGTCGGTCAAAATTTGAAAAAGTTATTAAATTTTTTTTAAACCTTGATATCTAGGGGTTTTTTGGGTCGTTGATGACGAATTTGATGTTAAATTGTCAAAATTCAAAATGGCGTATATAAAATAAAAAATTAATAACTTTTTAAAAATTTGATTGCCATATTGGATCCGCCATTTTGAATTTCGTCATCGATTCGTCATCAACGACCCAAAAAAACCCCTAGATATCAAGGTTTAAAAAAAATTTAATAACTTTTTAAAATTTTGACCGACATATTGAATTCGACATTTTGAATTTTGAAAATCTGACATCAGATTAATAATCAGCGACCCCGAAAACCCCCAGATATCAAGTTTTATAAAATATTAATAATTTTTAAAAGATATCTTGTCACTTTTCATTTAGGAATTGTTTTCACCCCCTAAAAACCACACACGACTTGATATAGCAAAACGGCTAGATATGGGTATTTTTTTTGGGTCCTAGTTTCCAAAAGTGTTGGATTTTTTTGTGGGTCAAAAAAGAAGTTGAATTTTGTCGGACGGTGTATTATTACTATTATATTAATATTATTATTATTACATTATAATATTAAATTAAATAGCAAATTAAAAATTAAAAATGCAAGCTCAGATAATTATTAAAATAAAAAAAATTTTCTTTAAAGTCAATAATTTTTAAATTAAATGTACAATAAATGCATAGTAATTTAGTTAGTGATGTAGCGAGATTGCTAGACGCTAAGGGTATTAGATGTCAGATACATGAGCTCATAATTACTATAGGACGGATAATGCTGTACAGAGTAAAGTGAATGTAACGGACAACTATTCAATTCGTTACTATGTCTCACGCGATTAAATTTCACAATGCGAATAACAACAATATATTACTTTGAAACATAAAAACTTTTTTTTTTTCAATTCAGGTTTTTTTTTATATGAATTGAGCAGTTTATTGAAGAGAATACAAAAAAAAGAGAGAGAGAGAGAGAATGGAAAAAAATGAAGAGAAAAAAAAACAAAGCGAAGAAAAGAGAAACAAAAAACGAAAAATAAAAAGAAAAGAGAAATATAAGAAAAAAGAGGAAGAGAAAAATAGAAAGAAACTTGTAACTTCCCTACAGTACAGTTACTTGAAATTAGTTTTCTATATTTCAGTTACTAAAGCAGAAAGCAGTTTAGGTGTGTGAGTGTATATGTGTGAGAGAGATAGAGAGAGAGAGTAAGCCGAGAAACTCTTTATTGATACAATTTCTAGGTTCATTGTCTTGTTTCTCAAATTCTTTTTTTTTCTTCTATTAAATTTTTATCAACTTTGCTTTATGGCAATTTTTCCCTATACATATTTATACATACAATGACAAATGCCTCAAAAAAATTCTATATCCAATATAGTTGTTCAAGTGTATAAAACACTCCTTTTTCCTCACAAAACATCAAAAGAGAGGATTTTCGTCAAAAAAAAAAAAAAAAATTTTTTTCCCCATCGAACGGGACTCAACAATCGTTTATGCTTCATTGCTACCCAGACAAGAGTACAACGTTTGAGAGATTAACCATAGAAAACCCAAAGTCCAGGCATTAGTTATACTTTTTTTTTTTTTTTTTTAAATATTATATTGTTTTACATTGTAAAATTGTTTATCACAATTTTTTTACTGCAATAAAAAGACAAAAATGCACTAAACTAT